CAAAGGTTCGTATAGTTAAAGCTCTGGTTTTCCCGGTAGTGATGTATGGAAGTGAGAGCTGGACCATCAAGAAGGCTGATCGCCGAAGAATTGATGCTTTTGAATTATGGTGCTGGAGGAGACTCTTGAGAGTCCCATGGACTGCAAGAAGATCAAACCTCTCCATTCTGAAGGAAATCAGCCCTGAGTGCTCACTGGAAGGACAGATCCTGAAGCTGAGGCTCCAAGACTTTGGCCACCTCATGAGAAGAGAAGACTCCTTGATGTTGGGAAAGATGAAGGGCACAAGGAGAAGGGGACTACAGAGGACGAGATGGCGGAACAGTGTTCTCGAAGCTACCAGCATGAGTTTGACCAAACTGCGGGAGGCAGTGGAAGACAGGAGGGCCTGGCGTGCTCTGGTCCAGGGGGTCACAAAGAGGCGGACACGACTAAACAACTAAACAACAACAACAAAAACTATATGTTGGCTATAGAAGCAGTGGTATACTATACTGCTGAGGCGGTGGGCAGGAGAAGAGAAGAGGACAGCAAGTCTTCAACCACCAGTTATGTATATTTCTCGTCCAGAAAGCACAACCAGAGACATTTTGGCAAATTAAAAAAATCCACTGGGGCAGAAATTTTACCCCTGAAAAAGAGGATGTGTCCTGGAAAAAGAGGACACATGGCAACCCTAGAAACCCCAGTTATTGCCACAGACCCACGCGGACCCTGCAAAGCCTCTGGGGTAGGAGCTGGGAAGGGGATCACCCCACCGCTTGGGGCTCCCCCCTTTTATCAGGACAGCAGAGCGATGGCGTTGAAGGGGGCCAGTCATCTCAGCCCCGCTCATCCCAGTCCTGTGCATAAACGCAGGCGCCTCTGTGCGCTCACGCGGCTCCTCTTGTGCCGCTCCTGAATTGCATCGCTGAAGGTCAGGTGAACAGAAGATGCTGGAGGGATGGAAGCCACTTGCACCCACGCAGCAGCCTTGAAGGGAGACACGTGACTCCCTGGCGTAAACACACCAGAGGCCCCAGGAATTTCCCCCTTTCACGGAATAGCACTGTTTCCCAAATAATCTTCTGTTTCTCACACGGAGAAGCTGCAGGCCGGTTGTGAGAAGAGGAAGAAGAGGAGGGGGGGAAAGGGAAGAGGAAGAGGAAGAGGAGGGGTGGAGGAAGCTTTTTCCAGCATGCGATGTTGAGCACTGCATCCCCACTGCAGAAGAGCTCCTGTTCTCAGGTCCTGCAAGGGAGCCTCTTTTCCCAGGGGACAAGGTCTCTGTGAGGCCAGGATGCTGGACTAGGCAGCCCCCTTGGGCCTGATCCAGCTGCCACTGCTGCAGGACTCTGCTCACGCAGAGAGAAGTGCAGTGATTTGAGCAGCTGGGCTTAATTCTGCCTTTGGAGAACTGCAAGGTCTGCTGCTTCTGAGAGTCCTGGGCAGGTCTGGTGTTTAGCCCAGGGAAGAGAAGACTGAGAGGTGATGCGAGAGCCATCTTCAGATATCTCAAGGGCTGTTGCTGGAAGAGAGAGCCCTCCCCAAACCAAAGGGACCAGAGCAGCTCAGTTCACAGTGGATATACTCAGTGCTTTTTGGGGGGAAAGGTGGGGGGACTCACCACCAAGTTTGTTTGTTTACATTCTTAATTACTTATTGTGGGCCCAGTCAAAGTGCCTCTCCATCCCCACTCCCGGCATTGGCTAAATGTAAGATGTGATTAATGAACAAGGATTGCCACATTTCAAACAGTGAAAATCGGGACAGCTGTGGAGTTGTGGGGTTTTTTTGCAAATCCCCCCCCCCAAGAAGTTGTTGAGCTATTTTTAAGGAGCATTGCCAAAAGCGACACTGCCGACACAGGTTGCCAGGATCTCCCCGGACATTTTTGCGATTTCCGCCTGGACACTGCTTCCGAATGCATTATTCAGGATACATTTGGGAAATTCCAGACAAAAGGCAACACTAAATAAACTCCAGCAGACAATGATCCGGATCACCGTTATTGATTTCAGATACAGGTGGATTTTGGGCCCAAGTAATGGGTGTATATTAGTTCCAGCCACCCCCACCCCCTGCCCTGGACACACACACACAAAAGTCTAATTTTAAATTGTGAAGGAACTCAGTTCCCCCAAGTTTGTGCTCAAACCCCCCCCCCCGGTGGAGTGCAGGGCCCCCTCCCAATGCTCAGAGTGGACCATGATCTGGAGCTTCAGGGAACAGCCCACGTGGTTGTCTCCCTAACAGGGATTCTCCTCCTCAGGCTTCCCTCCAGCCTCCCGTCTGCCATGGAGATATTGCAGCATCTCAGCTACCAGGCAGAGTTATCATGCAGATAAGAGGCTGCTAGCTGTAAGGCAGGTGGCAGGAGCAGAGCCAGCGATAAGAGCGAGAGATGGGCTACCTGTTGCTCAGTTCAGGACGAAGGCCAGAGACACAGCATCCGGGCAACATTTCCCACAAAAGCTTGCTATTCTGTGAGCTCTTAATTGTACAAAAGCTAGTAGCTTTGGAAACCAGCCATCGTTGAAAGCAGGCTTGGAGGCAGGTTCTCTGAGAACTTTGTCTGGTCTCCCAACATGTCTTTGGCATGGCATCATGATAGAGGGGTGTGTGTGTCCCCAGTCAGAGGATGACTTTTGAGGAGGTGCGTGTGGCGACTGGTGAATCCACCACAGGTGGTCTGAATCGGAAGGTTGGGCAATGCAATCGCAGGAAGAGGAGGGGGAACATTCAGACACACACCTTTTGCTTCCAGCATCTCCAGAAGCAGGGAGACAGGCAGATGCTGCACAGTTGAGAGAGGAGCTGCCCAGCTATGAGATAGTAGCTAAGCAACCAGAAGGGAGGGAGCAGCTGGGCGATACATCAATCGAGAGTGGAGGGGAACCCTCTCCCTTCTCCCGAACTCAGAGGACCGAGCGTGTCAGAGAACAAAGGAGACACGGGGGGAGGAACGTCCGTTTGGCTCGCTCCTTGCTCCTGAAATTGCAAGGAGGAGTCAGAGTAGGCAACTAAGATCCTTACGGAGAGTTGCCTGTTTGTGCTTGTAAGAGAATGCTGTAATAAAAGGACTGGGAGTGCGGGTGGTGGTGCTGATGCTGGTGATAGCCTCCATGCTGAGGGGTGAATGGACATCACAGGTGGGGGGGCCATAGCTGTCACCTCCTTGCTGCTGGCCCCCCTGGGATGGTCAGCCTTCTGAGGTTGGAGTGTGGAGGGGGGGTGCAGCTCCCACCGAGGAGGGCATCTGCTGCTGGTGGTACATATAGTAATTGTGGTTGGAGGCCCGCATGTCACCCAGGAGGGAAGAGAAATCATGCTGGGATGAGGAGGATTTCTCAAGCATGGATTTATAGAGATTTCGGAAGGACCAGCTCAGGTCCTGGAAGTTGATCTCAGAATAGGAGAATTTCAAGTCGTTGCTGGTACTGTAATGTGGAGGTGGCACATCTGTACCTTCGCGGCCCTGACCACCAGCCACTGTTGCTGCCACATCCACAGGCCCTGTGCTCCGCTGACTGTAATTGCCAATAGGCAGTGGGCTTTGCAAGGATAGGTGCCGGGTGGATTCAGGGGAAGAGCGAGGATTCCGCCCCAAGAGGAACAGGCCCCCGGGGGCTCTTGCTTGCTTCTTGCTCTGGGGGATCCTGCGATAGATCATCATCTGGTGGGTGACGCCTGTTCCGGGAAATATCAGGACAGGTATCGATGGTCCACGTTTGGAGGCAGGCCATGCTGCTGAATCTCAGTTGCTGGAAACGCAGGATGGGAGCGTGTGGCTCTTGCGCTCAGATCCTGCTTTGGGCACCTGGTTGGCCACTGTGAGAAGAGGATGCTGGCCTGATCCAGCAGGCTCTTCTGATGTTTGGTTGTTGTTGTTGTATTTTTTTTAAAAAGTGTTCGGTTTATTCTGCATATTTTTTTTTACACTAATTAAACTTAAAGCTGCAATTAGAGGCTGCGGTAGAAAAATTGCCTTTTATTTTTTATTCCCTAATTGCACCTGTAATGAGGCAAGTTTTAAAACAGTGAACTTTGGTGCTTACATTTTTTCCCCTGCTGCATGCATAATTTCTCCCCCCCCCCTTTTCTTTTTTCTTTTTGGACAAAGTAATAATAATAAATAATAAATAAATTAAAATGTGCGCGCACACACCACAAGACCCTTCCACTGTAACTATCCAACCTCCCAAAATTTCAACACCTCCTGCGATGGCTTGACCCCTTTCCGTTTTAACAGTACAAATTCTACAAATACTTTCCATATCCGCAAAATAATTTCTCCTGTGTATTTCCCGTTTTATCTTAATAGCACATGTTAACTTATCATTAATAGCTATATCCCACACCTCTTTGTACCATTCTTCCATTTCATATTCTGCTTGCCCCTTCCTAGCTAGAATAACTCGTGCAGCTGGCAATAAAATTGTGAGCAAGTCCTTCCTAGCCTGCGAAACTTCCATCCCATCCAATGTTCTTATGTTCAAGCATAAACCACGCGTATGAACTGACCCACTTTTTGAGATAAACATCAAAGGTCTGCCCTGCTGGTATCTCTCATGGCCTTCTGCAAATTTTATGGCACTTGCATCCACCACATGATACTGATTAAGAAGATGGGCCTCAGGGTTGTCCAGGAAGTGGCCCAGGGTGGTCCTGGACATTCTGCACCCTCTGGGGTCACCAACATGGTGCCCATGGGCATAATGATCTCCTCTTCTCCATGGTGCCCAGAAAAGGGGAGGTTGTTGTCTCCATGGGCACCATGTTGGAGACCCCCAGAGAGGAGGAGATCATTTTGCCCATGGAAACTGTGGGGCCCCCATCTGGAGTTCTGAGTGAAGGGAAGTTTTCTTTCTGCAGTTCTCTCACTGTGAAGTTCTCTTTCTGCAGTTCTCTTACTGCACATAACTGTTGCATTGTGGGAAGTCTTACTATGAAATCTTTCTATGCTTACTATGAGCACTATTGCTTCTTTTCTCTCTTACATTCTGGGAAGTTTTGCCTCTGCACATAAGTCTGAGAATGTTCTGAACAGTTCCCATTGAGTTCATGAAACAGTGTATCCTGACCTGTTCTTAATGCTTTGCTGACCACATTTACGGAACGTGATTGTTGTATTCCTTCATGTTATGTTCTCTCAATATCAATCTTAGTTACAATTTAATTAGGAGGTTTCATGCCTGTCTAGTTCCAGCTCCGTTCCCAGTCTTTTGAACTATCACTGATTAATGTAATATGTAATGCCCGCCTTGTACCTATGTTAACCAATCAGCAACAAGATGCTTTGTGTTTGTATCAGCCAATCAGCCACAAGCACACCTGTGGCAATGTTTGTAATATTCAATAAAGAGAGTTCCCGGACTTGTCCCGGCAGACGCTCTCTTTTGACACCCACCATTCGTCTGTCGTGATTTCAACCCAACATCTGGTGACCCCTGACGTGCCAGATCCCTTACGCAGCCAAACCTCATACTTCACCCGACTGGAAAAGTCTCAGCGCGCTACTTCGTGAGTATGGGAGGGGACTTGACTAAGCTCCAGAAAGAGCATGCTAAAGAGTTGCTTTATTTAGTTAGGCAGCGGGAGGTGGGTGTTAATATTTCCTTAAAAGAAATTGAACAATTGCTATGTGAGATAAATTGCCAATGCATCTTTTATCCAGAGGCTGGATCTTTGGACGTAGAGACTTGGCAAAAGATCGGAAAGACCCTTTTTGCAGAACCTAGGGCTCCGATTCATTGTCTGCTCACTTGGCAGAAATGTGCTGATGCCGTTGCTAAATTGGGGCCCCAATTGGGACCCCAGGCGTCTCCTCTTCTGGCCATTGCAGACAATCCCCCACCCTACCCGAAACTTTTACCTCCTTCTCCCAGCCAATCCCTCCCTGCTTCTCACCCTCCTCAGCCTGCATCCTCCCCCCCCCATCCCTCCGCCTCAGCCTGATTCCTCCCCCCCCCATCCCTCCTCCTCCTGCCACAGCCCCTGTTTGCTCTATAGGAGCTGTGCGTGCTGCGCTCTCTCTGGCAAGGCAAAAAGGACTCCTGTCCTTAGAGGAGGAGTCTGAGTGGCCAGGTGAAATGCCGTCTGCTTTCCTATCTCTTATTCAAACCCTGGAACTGCTCAACAGCAGATTTATTATGAATCACTTCCTTATTCTGTAATGAGGGAATTAAGGAAAGCCATTGCTGATTCTGGTCTGAAATCCTCTTATGTGACAGGGATGCTGGAAGGCATTGCAACTGGTTACATTATGCTACCTCAGGACTGGAAAGACCTTATGCGCATGCTTTTGTCCCCTGCTCAGTATGTGGTGTTTGAGAGTGAATTTAAACATAGCGCTTCAGCCCTGTCTGATCCTCAACATACTGCCAATGAACTTTATGGTGCTGGTCAGTTTGCTGATATAACTGCCCAAGCAACACTGACACCTGTACATTTTGTTCGCACCGCGACCTGTGTACAACGCGCCTGTCGGAAAGTGCCTGTTTCTGGGCAACCGCTGAGCTCCTTTGTGAATATTAAGCAACAGCATTCGGAGCCATACCATCAGTTTATAGATAGATTGAAAGAATCAGTCACTAGGCAGATTGATAACACCACTGCTCAAAATGAATTGATGAAAAAATTGGCCTTTGAAAACGCAAACACTGATTGCAAGAAAGCTTTGCAGTCAATCATACATCGCCCTAAATATGAACTGGCCGATATGATTCAAGCTTGTGCGGATGTCGGTAGCCAGAGCCATGCGATGTCCTTGCTTGCCGGCGCAATCCAAGCAACCTCTAAGCCTACTGGTAACTGCTTTAATTGCAAGCGCCCAGGCCATTTTGCCAAGCAATGCAGAGCCCCTGGCGGGGGGGCACACAAGGATGGTTCTGCCTCTAAGGCTAAACCTTCTAAAAAATGCCCGAAATGTGGCAAAGGCTATCATTGGGCTAACCAATGCAGGAGTTCGGGAAACTCCATCCCGGCCTCGCTCTCGGGCCAGGAAAATTAGAGAGATTTCCACCTTTAACTTCTGCTGCTGCAAACTTTTCAAATAACACACCCTCTGAATTTGCAATTGATTTGATCAATCAAGAGACCAAAGATTCTGTTCTACCTGGTGAAATTGTGCTTATGCCCACTCAATTGGCAGGTCCCCTGCCTCCTAAAGTCACAGGTTTAATTTTACCCAAATTTTCTACGGCAAAGGAAGGAATCCAGGTTATTCCTGGAGTTCTGGATCCTGACTATGTAGGCACAATAATGGTTCAACTCTGGAGCCATATGCCCATGCAATTAAAAAGGGTGAGTCTTGGGCGCATTTGGTGGTGCTCCTTCTCATCCTACTGCTTCTATTATGGATACTAATTTGCACGAGCTCTCTTCTTTCCCTCCACAGCTGTTAGCTGTAGTCCAGAGGATTGGTGAGAAGAAGCTTCTTCGTAAGTATAAAATCAATGGTATTGTGCTGGAAGGCTTGATTGACACAGGCGCAGACGTTTCTGTAATTTCTAGTAGTTGCTGGGACCCCACGTGGCCCCTTGAGTCTGCCTCTGCTGTCTGGGGTGTGGGTGGCCCCCAAACCTCTTCCAAAAGCTTACAGTGGCTGCCTGTTTCTCTGCCTGACAGCTCTGAAACCATTGCTTACATCCAGCCCTGTGTGCTGAAAATCCACCTCAATCTTTGGGGAAGAGACTTACTACAACAATTACAAGCTACCATTCAATTTAATGAGTAAGCTTGCATTTCCCCTCAACTGGAAATCTTCTGGTCGTGTCCTGGCTATATGTTTAATTACATTCCAGCAAACATCAGCCATGGCACACCTTGCTGTTTAAGCCGTTTGTCCATCATTTTATCACTGCAATACTGAATTGACTAATGATTGTGATGGTTTTGTCTCTCTTCTCAGTAGGTCTGAATATATCTCTTTAGTTGTTTCTCTCTTAGGAGTCCCTGGATTGGCTGTACGGAATCGTATGAACATTACTTCTTTAGCTTGTTATGAAGCAAAAACCCTGAATTTTACTTCACAACCTCTTCACCTTTTGAATAAAGAACAATGAACTCCACAATGGACTTTTATGAAATCGTGCTGCTATCACTATTTGCTCATGCTTCATCATTATGGCTGTGAACAAGTGAATGACATGTGCTGTTTCAATATTACTGACAATTCTAGAGCCATTCAAAGTCAAATCTCTCATTTGCAAAATCTTACACATCACATTAAACAGGACATTGGTTTTCCTGGCCTCTGGGATTCTTTCACCCACTGGCTTACTGCTTGGTTGCCAAACCTGAATTGTCTTCGTGGTCTCTTTCAATATGCTATTTTACTATGCTGTTTCCTTCAATGCGTTCCTAGCCTCATGAGTCTTTTCTCTCGGCTTCTCTCCCCCCCTCCACCCAGTAAAATCCATGCGGCTTAAATTGCGAAATTGCAACACCAACAGGAAACCTGAGGGGGATGTGGGCAGATTTATTTTGGGCATGCGCTGGCAAACCACGTATCCTGAAGTACTTTTGTCCCATCAACCCTGGCAAGCTTATTTCGGGCATTCGCTGGCACACCACTAATCCCGAAGTATTTTTGCCTTATCCACCTGAAATGCCTCGCAAACAAGAAAAGAAAGGGGAGATGAAGGAAGTTTTCTTTCTGCAGTTCTCTCACTGTGAAGTTCTCTTCTGCAGTTCTCTTACTGCACATAACTGTTGCATTGTGGGAAGTCTTACTATGAAATCTTTCTATGCTTACTATGAGCACTATTGCTTCTTTTCTCTCTTACATTCTGGGAAGTTTTTGCCTCTGCACATAAGTCTGAGAATGTTCTGAACAGTTCCCATTGAGTTCATGAAACAGTGTATCCTGACCTGTTCTTAATGCTTTGCTGACCACATTTACGGAACGTGATTGTTGTATTCCTTCATGTTATGTTCTCTCAATATCAATCTTAGTTACAATTTAATTAGGAGGTTTCATGCCTGTCTAGTTCCAGCTCCGCTCCCAGTCTTTTGAACTATCACTGATTAATGTAATATGTAATGCCCGCCTTGTACCTATGTTAACCAATCAGCAACAAGATGCTTTGTGTTTGTATCAGCCAATCAGCCACAAGCACACCTGTGGCAATGTTTGTAATATTCAATAAAAGAGAGTTCCCGGGACTTGTCCCGGCAGACGCCTCTCCTTTGACACCCACCATTCGTCTGTCGTGATTTCAACCGTCCTGGATCTCTGCAGGTTTTATCCATATGACCACAGAGCAAATCGCAAAATGTCTTTTCAGGGATGAAGGGAACCTCTGGTTTGATGGTGGTTTTGAGATGCTCTCTTGTCAAAAGGAGGAGCCATTCCCCAGAAAGAGCCATTGCTGGGGGTGGGGTGCCTTGCTGGCAATGGCGTGTGTTGAAATTTTTCATAGGGGAACAGTTAGGGCCAGAGGTGCCAGCTTGCGAGGGAATTGGGGGGGCATGATGTCATGCGTGTGACATCGTGCACACGAGCATTGCACCTCCCTCCCTTAGCCAGTCAGAAGCTTCCTGGGCTTTGCGTAGGAGGTACCAGGGCTCTGACAGGTGGGCTTTGGGAAGATGGCAGGGTTGCAGGAATTTATGTATAGGTTAGGAGGGGTGCCCCTCCAGCAGATATCACGCACATGCAGCCCACTACCAAAACCACCACAATCACTTTTGTGACTTTTGTGATTTGTCCCCACAAAACACTTCATCACAGTTTCTTCCTATCTATTCAAAGGGCCTTTGCTGCACGATACCAAATGTAAGAATTCACTGATAAATGCATCTATGTACTGGCTCACTGGGAAAACTTCAGAAATTCATATAGACACGTGAGCTCAGCTACTCAGCAGCCCCTCTGCCTGAGTGATAATTCCTGGCATCCTGATACCTGAGTGCCAGACAGGTAGCCATTCCAGAAATAACAAACCCAGATGAAGACAGAAGGGTGTGATGAACTTGGCTGGGAAACTGGAAAATGCAAATATCTCTTTTATTACACTTGATGGGTGTTTGGTGGAGGGCAAGGGGAACCATGGGGCAGGGTCCAGGATGCTCAGATTACTGCCACCAGACCTCCCCTTTCATGATGTAACCATGATGTATGAGTGATGTAGTTTGGGGGGAGTGTAACATGGGGATTAGGGATGTGGGTTAAACCACAGAGCCTAGGACTTGCCGATCAGAAGGTCGGCAGTTTGAATCCCCGCAAAGGGGTGAGCTCCCGTTGCTCAGTCCCTGCTCCTGCCAACCTAGCAGTTCGAAAGCACGTCAAAGTGCAAGTAGATAAATAGGTACCGCTCTGGCGGGAAGGTAAACGGCGTTTCTGTGCGCTGCTCTGGTTCACCAGAAGCAGCTTAGTCATGCTGGCCACATGACCTGGAAGCTGTACGCCGGCTCCCTCGGCTAGTAAAGCGAGATGAGCGCCGCAACCCCAGAGTCGGCCACGACCGGACCTAATGGTCAGGGGTCCCTTTACCTTTACCTAACATGGGGATTAGCAGCTAATAAAAGTTTGGGTTCTCTTTTGTTCTGGGCTTCTATCTTGTTCCACCTGGTGGCAGGTGGGAGTCCTGTCGCAACTGTCTTCAATCAAGACCAAGCCTACTGGCTGCTGTTTTGCTCTGGTATTCCTGGCTGGGGTCCTTGT